TATCACTGGATTGAACACTGTAAAACAGTTACAGTATAAATTTTGTTATGTGTATTTTATCACAAAAAAGAGATTAAAAAATATCTAGAAGGAGAAACAAGAGAATAGATGAGAAAAATACCCAAAGAAATAACAATATTCAAAGAAATCACAAGAAAAAAGTAAGTTCCCAGATTTACAAAGAATACCAAATAAGATGAATAAACAATAAAGAGACTATATTAAAAGCATCCAGTAGCTCTTTGAGTAGTTACTATTATCCCCATTTTACAGATGACGAAATTAAGGTTAGGTAAAAGGTTGTAGATAAATTGCCCAATATTACACAGTAAATGGCAAAGCAAGATTTTGAAACTGGTCTGTCAGGTTCAATAGCTGTTTTCTTTCTAACATACTGTGCTTCAATAAGAACTTTTTCATTTTAAAAATACTATATGAACATATTTTTTCTGTAAAAGAGCTAAACCATTAGACTAAAAAAAAAAAATCTCTGTAACAATCCTCCTTCCCAGTCCTTTCTGGAAGATATCCACTAATATTAGTTTATCTTTACAGAACTTTAGTGTGCACTTATATACACATGTATGCATATACATTTATGTATTTTCTTTTAAAAATAAATACCCTCATACTGTTTGAATTATTCAGCATATATTTTTCCTAATGGTTTTTCCTGGAGATATGTCCATGCTAGTATAAAGATGATAATAGCTAACATATTTATAGGTCTACTTCATGTTTTTAAAATACTTCATAGTATCAATGTTCCTCAATTTATATAACCATTTCTATTTATGAATAAAGTTGTTATTCTTCTTCTGTTACAAATAATCAAACAATGTTACAGTGAACATTCTTATATTATACATGCCTCTTTGTTCACAAGTGTAAATGTTCCTCTCAGGTAGAATTTCAGAGAAAGATCACTAGGTCAAAGGAATATACATATTTCAAATTTTCATAGTGCTAAATTGCCCAAGTAACATGTACTGATTTTATTCCTACCAACACAAAATGAAAATTACCGTTTCCTTAACATTGTGTATTGTTAATCTCTTTAACATTTGCTAATCTCTTTAACATTTGGCTGGTAAGCCAAAAATTGTTTTTCACTGTTTAAAATTTTACGTTTCTCTCATAACTAATGAAGCCGAAAATCTTTTCACATGTATTATCAGGCATTTATATTTTTACTTCTATGAAATGTATGTCCAGATGCTTTGGCTATTCTTCCATTGAGTTGTCTGATTTTTTTCTTATTGATTTTTAAGTGTTCTTTATATATTCTAGAATTAATCTTTTGTCAATTTTCTGAGAAAAAAGCTTAAGAGAAAATACATGCAAAAATAGGTTGCTATGAAAAAGAAACCAAGAATAAGAAAGATTTAAAAAATCAAATTCATTATTGCCACATGGAAAATTAACTGGATATGACTAAATATCACAATAGTGATCTGAAATTAGAAAAGAAAAAACTGAAAACATATCTGAGAACATAAGGTAAAAGGAAAACAATATTAAAAATGAGAGAAAACTGTTAAGAAATATGGAGCATACATTTGGGAGGCCATATATCTCCTACAATTTCTTCTTTGTTTTTTTTTTGAGACAGAGTCTAGCTCTGTCACCCAGGCTACAGTACAGTAGTATCATCACAGCTCACTGCAACCTCAAACTCTCGGGCTCACGTCATCCTCCTGCCTCCGCCTCCCAAATAGCTGGGACAACAGGCGTGTGCCAATGCACCTGGCTAATTTTTCTAGTTTTAGTAAAGATGGGAGGCCAGGGTGGGATGGGAATGGGCGGGGCGGGGGGTTGGGGTGTTGCTCTTGCTCAGGCTGATCTCTAACTCCTGAGCTCAAGCCATCCTCTGCTTCAGCCTTCTAGAGTGCTAGGATTTGCAGGCGTAAGCAACCACACCTGGCCTATCTCCTACAATTTCTAAATGGAAAGAAGAAAGACAATGAAAGGGAAGAAAAAAAAAAAACAAAAGTAAAGTTTACCAGAGCTGAAAAAGACACAAATCCTTAAACTCAAAAAGTCCACAAAAGTGATATACAAGATTAATGAAAAAAAGACACACCTAGACCATTCTGATAATCAGAGCTCCAAGAAAGTTTCCTAAAAGCCTCTAGACCCTGACTATCCAATACAGTAGCCACTAACCACATGTGGCTGTCTAAATTTAAATTAATTAAAATAAAAGTAAATTAAAAATTCAGGCCCTTAGTTGCACTAGCCATATTTCAAGTGCTTGATAGTCATATGTGGCTAGTGGTTACTGTATTGGATAGTGCAGACACAGAACATTTCTACATTGTAGGAAGTACTAGTGGACAGCATTGGTCTAGAGTAAAAGCAGGTTACCTACAAATGAATGATAATCAAACTCACAGTACTCTCATCAGCAATATTAGAGACTAAAAAACAATGAAACAATGTTCTCTAAATTCTCAGAGGAAAATATTCTGATCCTACCATTTGTACTTAGTTAATCAAGTGTAAAGTAAAACAAAGATATCTTTGGACATGCAAAAAAAAAAAAAATCAAATTAGTCACCCATGTAAAATATTTGAAAATATTACTCAAAGAAAATATTTCAGGGTAAAAAAGAGGAATCCTAGGTCACCAGACATAGTAGCAGCTAAACATGATATCTATATGTCCAGATGTAGCAGTGGACATGAAACAAATAAAAGAATCCAACTGGGTACAGTGGCTCACACCTATAATCCTGGCACTTTGGGAGGCCAAGGCAGAGGATCATGTGAGGCCAGGGGTTTGAGACCAGCTGAGCAACACAGTGAGACCCTGCCTCTACCACAAAAAAAAAAAAAAAAAATTAGCCAGGCATGGTCACACATGCCTGTAGTCCGAGCTACTCAGGAGGCTGAGGGGGAAGGATTGCTTGAGCCCAGGAATTCGAGGCTTCAGTGAGCTATGATTACACCATTGCACTCCAGCCTGGGTGACAGAGCAAGATCCTGTCTCTGAAAAAAATAAAGACAAAATAAAAGAATCCATTTGACCTCAACAATTGGGAGTCTCTTTTGAGAAACAAAGTTTAAATGACAGAAAATTACTTTTTTATGATTCTAATCATAATATGTGATCATTGGATAATATATATAATCATAATATAAAACTGCTTATTGATTGTCAATTTTTACAATCAACCTACAGGCATAGACAAGCAATTGTTCAAGAACAGAATGTAAATGTCATAAATTTTGCCAATGTTAATAATGTAATATAAGTAAAAAAAAAAACTGAGAGGTGTATGAAAAAGAAAATTGGAAGGGAAAATATAATAATTTCCTCACCCTTCATAGCAGTTAATCATTAGGTTTTTATTTAAAATTACTAAATCAAGAAATAAATACATATATTATATATAAGCTATTAATGGCAATGACCACAAGAATTAAAATCAGGAACTTAACCCTTTGCACTCAGATGTCGAGTGTGACTCGACACGGTTAGCAAAAATTATAGAGATTAAAATTACTCTTTGAATGTATCAATAATTTGAAATATAAAAAAATCCAAATAAATAAGTTTGTATGAAAAGAAACTCCAGTTTTTTATTCTACTGCTGTGCTTTGTAAAATCTGGGGTATTTAAAAAATTAAATCCCGAGTAGAATAAAGGAATCAAGAAAAAAGCAAGCGAATACAAAGGGTTAAGAGTGTTTGGAGAGTGGGATGGGGTATGGGAGAATGTTACACAATGGTTACTTCTAATTTCTATACTTTTCAATCGCTTTTGTGTTTGTATATTAATTCCATAAAGTTATTAGTATACAAAAAATTTCAATTGTATCTATTCAGTGGAATATTATATATAGTTGTTTAAAAAGCTAAGGTGGAACCATGTGTATTGACATGAACAGATGCCCATAATAAGTAAAAAAAAAAAAATGCAGACTAGCATATATATGTAAAAACATATACCAATATAAATGTATGACATGTATCTATGTCTACATAAAGATATATTACATATAAAGAAATATGTCTATATAAATATATATTAATTAAAACTATATCTGGAAAATAGGTTAACAGCTATGTCTATAGGTTTGGGGATGGAGTAGGTCTTACTTTATGTGCAAGCATATATTACTTATATAATAATAACAATGACAAAGAGATATAGTGGTGAAGATTTACAAAGATGTTCATGATATATTGTAAAATGAAAAAATTAAGTTGCAGATCAATAGGTATACAGCACAATATTGGTTTTGTGAATAAAATGTGATATGTATGTAAATAGATCTGTATATGCTTAAGAAAAATCAAAAGGGATAAGCACCAAATTTTTAATGGTTACCTTTGTGATGTAAAACAGTAGAAAAGGGAAATTAAAGTTCCTACATTATATACTTAAAAAACATGTCATGGGCTGGGCACAGTGGCATGGGCCTGTAATCCCAGCTACTCAGGAGGCTGAGGTGGGAGGATCACTTGAGGCCAGGAGTTCAAGACCAGCCTGGGGCACATAGCGAGATCCCATCTCTTAAAAATGAAAAATTAAAATTAAAAAAAAAAAAACAAGTCATGGGATTAATGGATGATTTTTACTTTCCTTTTCTTTTTCAAATAAATCAAAATCTTCCAAACATGATTAAATTAAGACCATAAAATTTGGGGGGAAGGAAAGTAATAACAGGTATTTCAAGTAGAAATCTAAAAGTAAGTTCTACCCACTGAAACAATCTATGAATCAGTTTCTATTCCATCATTAATACAAATATAGACATTGCTCACAAGTTCCTGGCTAATTCACAACAGGGCTCTCTTACCAAAGATAGTTCTGCCATCTCTTCTGAGAATCTCTGGATACTTGCAGCCTAAATCATGGCCTTCTTAAATACCTGTCACCTCGGAATCTTGTGACATAGACAATTTCAGTTCAAAGGACAGAATTTTATAAGAGAAGCATTTCTTTAAAATCATAAGCAAAGAATAAGGAATTGGTTAGAAAGAATACTTACATGCAAACACAATTCGCTGGGTACAGAAGTTATCACATTCAGGTCCCTTTTGAACACTGACACGTTAGCAGGCTGACTCACAGCCACATTGGACAGAATCTTAGAGCCTGTCTGTTGGAAATTAGGGGATTGTCCAGGGCTATCTTGAATTCCACAGTGACTGATGGCTATGACTTCTGGCACTGGACAGGAGAGTGTATCTTCAGTGGAGGAAAAAAATGGAGAGTCTATGCTTTGAGTATCCTTCTGACTCTCAGGATAGATGCTAGAGATGTTATGCTCCTGATAGAGCAAGTTTCTTAATTTTTCATCCAGAGTTTTAATTCGGTTGTCTGCAAACTCCATTTTTGGAGGTCTTTCCCCATCTGATTCCAAGATAGTAGTGGGTAGAAGACTAGTTGGTTCAAGGCCAGGGGTCTGAGTGGGAATAACTGTCTTAGGAGAAATTGCTTCAGTGTTCAGTGTCATTTCTCCTTCTTGGGAAAAAAACTCTGCATCCATAGTTGGCTGTTGTACTGATAAGGACTGAGGCTTCTGATCAGATACGAATGCAGGAGTAGTAAGAGAGTTATCAGCAATCTGAGTTGATTCGCCAGGATGGGCCATAAGTACATCAGCCTGACTGGCAGCTTGGTGACATGAATACACAGGTATGAATATACCTGCTTGGTTGTCAAGTCCCTCATATTCAATTGGAATGGCACAAACTGAAGTAGCGGAATAATTGGAACTACTAGTAACTGGTGCCATTATCTGCCCATTGTCTTCTACTTGATAAAGTGGCTGCTCAGTTTCTACACTAGCACATTCATAAATCTTACCATCAACTACATCCTTGTGTTCTGATTTGGAGGTGAAAAGTGCACGCTGGCATGGATTGTTTTCTATAGTGAGCAGTACGTCCTGTGATATTTCCTTATTACTTATGTTTCTTGGACCTGGAACAATAACAAAGAATGGCTAAGCATGCATTGATGGGTACAAACCATGGACTAGTACCCAAACTCAAAAGAGACAGGAGGAGCAAGGGACAAATGAGAACCTGTATGAAAGTACTCTTGGCTGACAGGGTACCGTGGCTCATGCCTGTAATCTCAGTACTTTGGGAGCCTGATGAGGAAGGATTGCTTGAGGCCAGGAGTTTGAGAGCAGCCTGGGCAACATAGGAAGACCCCATCTCTACAAAAAATTTAAAAATTAGCTGGGCGTGGTGGTGTATGCCTGTAGTGCCAGCTACTTGGGAGGCTAAAGCAAGAGGATCACTTGAGCCCAGGCTGCAAGTGAGCTATGATCATGCTGCCACATTCCAGCCTGGGAGACAGAGACCCTTTCTGTTTAAAAAAAAAAAAGGAAAGGAAAAAAGAAAGTACTCTTGTAAATGAGACTCAAAGTGAACAGAATTCAAATCAACCTGTCAAGGAAAAAAAAAAATCCCCATAAATATTAAATAAACACTAATATTAATGTCTTCAAAAATGCTCATGAATATTTTCATAAGCATAAAATACCCATAGAAACCAGCTAAAGATATCGTATATGTTTTGCAACCCTATCCTTTGAGTCTGGACAAACCTGGCAGAGAATAAAAGCTTACTAGGAAGTGGATGTAGCCCAGGAACCGTAGACATAGAATGCTGAAGAGAAGGAGGAGACTGAACGTCACGGTTTCTTATTGTTTGATTGATACAAAATCGCCACCGACCAACTGGGGATGACTGAGGAGCAGATTCATCTGCGGAAAGAATTAGCAAAAATTGAATATGTTCAGCAATTGTCAATTTGTTTATCTTATTGACTAAGGAAGCCAGGTTGAAAAAACAATTTGTCTTGTATCTTCATTTTCAACAGTACTAGGATATATGTAATTTATGAAACCAGATCTCCCAATCCTGACAAAAAGTCTAAAGAATTAAGCATATAATATCTTTAGAGAAGGATTTTAGATTTTACTGAAACAAACATTGTTATCAATAGCAATTAGAAGCAAGGTTCTCTTTGAAAAAATGGAAAGCACTTTTCCCATTAAAATCTACCTACAGAACCACTTCTGTTCTGTATCCTGATTATGGTGGTGCTTACATAAATCTATACATTAAAATTTACAGAACTGTACACCATAAGAAAAAAAGTCAATTTTACTATATAACAATTTTTTAAAGCAAGTAAAATAACCCCTACATCTTAACTCCTACCTTGTAAACTTAAATAAGTAATTCTTCTTTTAAACTTTCTCCTACTTTGTCAGTCAGAAACCTGCTCAGATCTCAGCTAACCAGAAAAATAAGATATAGGAGGACTCTGCCATCCTAATGCAGTCAAACTAAATTTCAAGATAATGTTATCTGGTTCTATTACTCCTACACCACCTTTTGCTTCTTCAAGTTGTTATAATTCTTTCAGAGGTCCTCATCTGTCTACAGCTCTTCTCCCTCTCCCAGACACTCTTTTAATATATCCATGACCAGAGCTGAGAAGAATGGAAAGATAAAGTCATCAGAAAAGAAAATGGAAGACCCTAGTTTTATTCTCTGGAAGTTTATCCAGTATCTGATTTACAAAAAGTTATTAGTGACCAAAGCATGTAGAAGCATATCACTGGGGGAATGAAGACATGAATGACTTTTAAACCATGAGGCTAACTTAGAACCTAATGATTTTCGTTAAAAAAGTTTCTGTCCACCTCAAATCTGAAAAAAAAAAACTTACCAATAAAGATTCAAACAGTTATGCTGTTAAAGGTCATCAGTATGTGACTGCTTTTCTGGTAACATACCATGTAACAGCTCAGAAATAAATTAATCAGATAAAGAATCAACACTTGGAGGAAATTTGGAGGATGGATTTTTACTTCTGAGCTATTACATTAGGGGTCCTCAAACTTTTTAAACAAGGGGCCAGTTCACTGTCCCTCAGACCATTGGAGGGATGGACTATACTTTAAAAAAAACTATGAACAAATTCCTATGCACACTGCACGTATCTTAATTTGAAGTACAAAAACAAACGGGCAAAAACACCCACATGTGGCCCACGGGCCATAGTTTGAGGCCCGTATTATATGCTTTCAAAGTGTGGGAAAACCTACATTAACAACTTATCAAATCACTTTATTGATCAACATCTTTCCCAACGAAGGTGGGTAAATTAAAGTTTCCAAATGTCTTGCTTCAAAAGCCCAATGGTAAATTTTATTAAATATACTTACTGCTGGTTTGAGTGGATGCAGAATTTATCTGTACTTGTTCAGATGATCCTGTCTGAATTAAAAATGAATAGATAAATAAAGAAGTTCCTGATACATATCCAAAAAGACCTATTTGTAAACAATTGCTCTTACTTGGCTACTGTTGGATTCCATAATAATAGAGTCAACTCCAGTGGCTTTTTCTACAGCAGAGTGGACATGGAGGATCTCCTGGGCTTGACCTACAATAGTCCTCAATTCTCCTACAAATTTTTCTTTCTCACTTTCCAGTACAAAGTTATCTTCAACCTGCCCAAAAGTAAAAGTAAGCCTATTCACGAGAATGAATTTAGTTTCTTCAAAATTATAATATTGTATCAATGGTGACTACCATAAGGAAAAAAATGTATATTGAATATTCAAATCTAAGTGCCAAAACAGAATTAACAAAGATCATCAATAAAATGCCACATAATACATTACATTATTCTATTTTGAGACCACAGACATTTGTCATATTAGCACTACCTACCAGAGAAGAAGCTAGCATTTAAAAAAATATTCAGCATTCTATAAATTGGTTGTTATTTGAAGACTATAACTAACTGAGGCGATGTTTAAAACTAAGATATCCAAACCCTAAAAACTTTTAAATCACAAATCACAAAACAAAATATCTCCAAATATAATAAAAAATGGCCCAACAGACCTTTAATTAGGTTAAACATTCATGAAGAATATTAAAGAAGAGGCAGTTCAGAAAAGAACTATGTTAAACAAAAGGGAGAACTGACAAAATGATTTACTTTTAAAATGTTTAGTTCTGCTTGGCTAGGAATGCATATACAAAGAAAGTTGGTGGAAACAAAAGCATTATGGACTCTTACTTCTACCCTAGTCCCATTCCCATCAGAAAAAGAGGGAAAAAAATACTAACTTAAGTCTTACAAGTCATAGAAAATATTAAAAACTAAATGAAATGATGAATATAACTTGAATACCTACATATAAGATGTTAGATCAGTGACTAACAGATTATAATTACCTGGGTAACTTTACAAACTATTGATGCTTAACCCTCACCTCCGAAGATTCTGATTTAATAAGGAGCCCAGGGAATAGAATTGTTTTTAAAAAGCTCAGGTGTTCACCAGAGATTCAGGAGGTGTGGGGGTAGACCCACATCTGAGGGATGTGGCTAACAGTGTGGAGGGGAAGGGCATACCTCTAACCTTTGCTAGGTAAAGGCAAAGTTAAAAAATCTAACCAAAATGTTATAAAAAGAAAAACAACAAAAAACATTTATCGGGTGTTGGGCAGGTGGGGGGCGAGGGGATGGGTTTATATATATACACACTATAAGTGCAATGTCGGGGGATGGACACACTTGAAGCTCTGACTCAAAGGGGGAGGGAAGGCAATAGCAATGTATGTAAGTAACCTTAACATTTGTACCCTCATATTATGCTGAAATGAAAAGAAAGAAAGAAAGAAAGAAAGAAAGAAAGAAAGAAAGAAAGAAAGAAAGAAAGAAAGAAAGAAAGAAAGAAAGAAAGAAAGAAAGAAAGAAAGCAAGCAAGCAAGCAAGCAAGCAAGCAAGCAAGCAAGCAAGCAAGCAAGCTCGCTCGCTCATCAGGTCATTTTAACATGCTGCCAGAGGTAAGAACCATTGATCTAGATCATCTCTTAATGAAACCCCCTCATAGTTCCAGATAAATATACTTATGCTGAAGGAGATGAAGCGACTTACCCTTGATTATAACTGATTTAGCTCTGTACAAATTTTAAAAACTAACTGTACACTTTAAAAAAAGGATGCCTCCAAATAAATGGAGAAGGAATTAGAGGGGAAAAGAGACACAGAATATTGAAGGGAAAATAATTTGGTTTTACTATACTTACCATATAGTCTGCAATATCCTCTGGTGCATCACCATCAACATCAAACTTGAAGGTGACCATCTTGTTGTTGTGTGTCTCCAGCTGACACTCCACCATGTTGTCTCCAGAGGTTGATACCTGAGTACAAACATTTCACCAGTTTAAGAGTCATTATCTCCTCTTTGCAATTGTACAGGAAACATCTAGATTAGTTCACATACAATATATACTATATATATGGAAAATGGTTTAAATAATACAGAATCTAAAAAGATTCTGTTTTCCTTTGTTGAAATACCACCTAAACAGTCATTTGATGACAAATCTAACAGATTCACATTATGCAGTAAAAAATAAGCTAAAAATACGATCCTGTGGGAAAGAAAATGGAACATAACTTTTATAAAAAAGCAAAAAAAGTTACAGTGGTCACTATAGCTATCTGCAATGCAAAGATCTAAATCCAGTCATTTACTTCCAAAATTTTCTTAATCCTACAAATTGACTCTAAGCAAAAAAGAGGCACTGCTAATGGAAATGTAAGCTGGCCCAACCTTTCCACACAGAAACCTAGCAACATGCATCTAGAAACTTTAAAAACCTTCATATTCTTTGACATACTAATTCTACTCCTATGGATCTATCATAAGGAAACAATCAGAGATATATAAAGATTTGTATTCAAGGATGTTTACTGCAGATAAAGACAGACAGACAAGAGAGAGAGGAAAATAGCAAGTTAGGAAAAAGATAGGCTAAGAGAAAGACAGACAGAAAAAAGAGCCTAAATGAAGACCAACACAGGCAATGATAAAATTATATCTTTGTAGAAGGGGCTAGCTAACGCAGTCATTTAAAATAGTTATTGAAAAATTACTTAATGATACAGGAAATATACATGTTATATCAAGTTTTCTTAAAGGCAGGTTTAAATTGTATACAGCTTTAAGCATCCATCTGAAAACATATATCATATTGGTTAGAGATATGGGCTTTACAGTCAGACTGGGTTCAGATCTGACTCTATCACTTGCTAGTTGAGTGACCTTGGGCAAATTATTTTATTTCTCTGGTCTTCAGTATCTTATTTGTTTGTGTTTTTTTGGTTGTTTGTAGAGACAGGGTTGCATATCTCACTATGCTGCACAGGATGGTCTAGAACTCCTGGCCTCAAGTACCTGGGCCTCCCCAAATGCTGGGATTACAAGTGTGAGCCACCGTGCCCAGCCAGTATCCTCATTTGTAAAGACGAGTATATATTACCACCTATCATGCAGGGTTATTGAAGAATTAAATGATAAAACAAATGGATAATATTTAGGGTACCTACCACAAAAAAATTCAATAGATTTTTTTCTGACCAGGCACAGTGGCTCATGCCTATAATCCTAGCACTCTAGGACACTGAGGCGGGAGGATCACTTGAGGCCAGGAGTTCTAGACCAGCATGAGCAACAGTGAGACCCCGTCTCTGCTAAAAACAGAAGAAATTAGCAGGGCATGGTGGTGCAGGCCTGTAGTCCCAGCTACTCAGGAGGCTGAAGCAGGAGGATCATTTGAACCCAGGAGTTTGAAGTTGCAGTGAGCTGTGATGACACCACTGCACTCTAGCTGGGGAAACAGAGTGAGACTCTGTCTCAAAAAAAAATTGTTTTTCGGCCGGGCGCGGTGGCTCACGCCTGTAATCCTAGCTCTCTGGGAGGCCGAGGCGGGCGGATTGCTCGAGGTCAGGAGTTCAAAACCAGCCTGAGCAAGACGAGACCCGTCTCTACTATAAATAGAAAGAAATTATTGGCCAACCAATATATATATAGAAAATAGCCGGCATGGTGGCATATGCCTGTAGTCCCAGCTACTCCGGGAGGCTGAGATAGAAGGATTGCTTGAGCCCAGGAGTTTGAGTTGCTGTGAGCTAGCTGACGCCATGGCACTCACTCTAGCCTGCAACAAAGTGAGATCTGTCTCAAAAAAAAAAATTGCTTTTCAATAGATTTTCTACTATATCTATACTATTACGATCTAATAATGTAAATATACATATACAACAGAAAAAAAGAGAGAAACAAACTAGAACATACATGAGCTACTCTGAGTGGGTGCTTACAAATGAATTTATTTCTTCCTTATATTTCTCAAGTTTAACATATAATGCTGTTATGAGAAAATTTTTTTTATTCAGCATATTATGGGCGGCTAAATCTTAAGGTTACGTATATTGCCCATTTCCCCTCCCCACTCAAGTCAGAGCTTCAAGCGTGACCATCCCCAGACAGTGCATATCTCATTCATTATGTATGTATATACCCATCCCTCCTCCCTCTCCCATCTGCCCTACACCCGTAAATGTTATTCCTATATGTCCACTTAGGTGTTGATCTGTTAATACCAAATTTGCTGGTGAGTACATGTGTGGCTTGTTTTCCATTCTTGAGATACCTTCACTTATAGTAATGGTTCCAGCTTAATCCAGGAAAATACAAGAGTGTAATCACCATTATTTCTTAAAGCTGAGTAGTACTCCATGGTATACATATAACACATTTTATTAATCACTCGTGAATTGATGGCACTTGGTTGTTTCCACAGCTTTGCAATTGTGAATGTGGCTGCTATAAACATTCAAGTGCAGGTGTCTTTTTTATAGAGTGTCATATGATCTTTTGGGTAGATCCCCAGTAGTGGGATTGCTGGATCAAATGGTAGATCTACTTGTATCACTTTGAGGTATCTCCATATTGCTTTCCACAGAGGCTGAACCAGTTTGCAGTCCCATCAGCAATGTAGGAGTGTTCCTCTCTCTCTGCATCCATGCCAACATTTATTGTTGGGGACTTTTTGATAAAGGCCATTCTCACTGGAGTTAAGTGATATCTCATTGTGGTTTTGATTTGCATTTCCCTGATGATTAGAAATTGTGAGCATTTTTTTCATGTTGTTGGCATTATTCTGTCTTCATTTGAAAAATTTCTGTTCATGTCCTTAACTTTTTGACAGAGTTGTTTGATTTTTCCTTGCTGATTTTCCTGAGTTCTAAACAGACGCTAGTTATCAGCCCTTTATCAGATGTGTAGCTTAAGAAAATTTTCTCCCATTCTGTGGGTTGTCTGTTTGCTCTCTTGACAGTTCTTTGGCTATGCAGAAACTTTTTAATTTGATCAGGTCCATTTATTATTTGTTGATGCTGTGATTGTCTTTGGGTCTTCTTCATAAATTCTTTGCCTACGCCAATGTCTAGAAGAGTATTTCAACATTTCCTCTAGAATTCTAATAGTTCACACCTAAGGTTCAAGTCTGTTACCAGCGTGAGTTGATTTTTGTGAGAGGTGAAAGGTGTGGGTCCTGTTTCAGTCTTCTACATGTGGCTATCCAGTTTTCCCAGCACCATTTATTGAATAAGGATTCTTTTCCCCAGTGTATGTTTTATGACAAATTTTTTAATGGAGGTAAAGTTAGTTTACAGGATTTCCCATTATTCTACATTCACTTCTGTAGCAATGCCGCTCCCTGACCCTCTAGACCTCTGGACATACTCTTAATCAAAACTATATTTACACACTGACCTGAAGGACAGTAAGCTGAAATTTAGTCCCTTTCTCTGGTCGGAGACAGGAAGCTCTTCTCTGTTTGATTCGATCCTGTTTACCATTTCCACTTTGGTTATCAGGATTATTGGTGTTTTCCTTCACAGCTGCCACATCTTGATTCAAGCTAGTAATTTAAAAAAGAAATCAATTCATTCCAATCCTGATGGTAAAATTCTAAGGAAAACTCCCAATTATACAATCATAATGAGTTTAAGGAAAATCAATAAATACTACAATATCTTTTTAAAAGTTAAGATTGCACAACTCTGTGAATATACTAAAAGCCATTGAATTATACACTTTAAATGTATTATGAATTATATGGTATGTTAATTATATTTCAATAAAGCTATTTTTTAAAGTTACGAAAAACTGAGATTTACACTGTATTTATTTGGCAAACATCTTCTCACAGTGATGAGAATGAAAAAAAAATTGACAGACCTCTGTGGAATCTTTAAAAAATATTATTAATTTCATTTTTAATTTAGAGATGGGATCTCACTACATTGCCCAGACTGGAGTACGATGGCTATTTATAAACACAATTATAGCACATTGTAGCCTCAAACTGGTCTCAAGTGATGCCCCCACCTAAGCCTCCCAAGCAGCTGGGATTATAGGCATGTACCTCTGCAACTGGCTCTGTGGAATCTTTTAATAGGGGATGTTCTCAATAAATTTTACCTTGTTTGTTTGGGGATTAGTTTGTTAATATGTTCAAATAAAACTTCTAAAACCAAAACAAATTCTCACTCAAAATATACCTATTTATGTAATGAACTCGACAGTGGATAGACAGACCAGGTATGGGAGACAAGTATGGTGCAGGTGGCAGAACAAGAAAATGAAAATGAATGATGTAAAAATGTTTCAACATGATTAACTCTAATTAGTTATATTTTACAGGTTTGAATAAATATAACTATGAAATGGCAGGCTACCCTTTAATTTAACTGTGTCAAAGGCATTTTTCAGCTTTTTCTTTAATAAACTTGAAGATATTTCAATAAATACAAAAATTTCAATAAACACATTTGCAATTTAAATGATAATATTGGTAAGCACTAGACATCATCATTGTCAAACAGATATCTTTTAAAGTAATTTTTAGGAAAGTCCTTTCTCATAAAAACTATTCGTGAAGCATCTGTATAGAGATGTACGAGAAGAGATAAAAATAACTCCGAAATTGTTTTCTGTGTACATATGAAAAATAATTTGCATAATGAGTGGTGGAAGAAGATACATTCATACTGCTCTTAGAGATTTTAAATCTACAGAGAAATGGCAGTAATAATCTTACCAGAGGATAAAAAGGACATAATTTTAGCCTATAGGGCTATATCATTCACATTCCAAAATTACTTAAAACACTAGTTTAGGGTTTGGGACAAGATGACAGAATCTCAACTCTCCCTGCTCCTCCCCGCTAAATACAGCTAAAGATTCTAGAAATAATACAGTAGACAACCACAGGAGGGTACTAAAGAGTAAACAGATGAAAGCAGACTTCCGGTTGGTCCGAGTGCAGTGGTGTTTACAACTAATTGATCACAACCAGTTACAGATTCCTTTGTTCCTTCTCCACTCCCACTGCTCCACTTGACCAGCCTTAAAAAAAAAAAAGAAAGCAGACTTCCTATCTTAACGATTACCCACCTGCTGACAAAAGGCAATCCAGGCTCAGTGTCTCCTGATTCCTAGTCCAGAGGCAAAAGGCAACACAAGCCCAGAATCTCCCGACCCTGAACCCAGGAGCAGAAGAGGACCTGAGTAGGCCCTTGCCTTCCCCATGGCACTGGTGGGAACCCCACCAGTAAGTAGAGTGTGGCCTGGAAAGTGGGTCTGGGGAAGCAGGTCTAGGGAAGCACTCTCCATCACTTGGCCCAGCTTTGGGAGCCAGTGGTGCCATACCAGGCAAACAAAGACCAGAATAGCATTACAAGGACTTTGAAAACTAAATTTTTATTAGAATCACAGCTCACAAAAGTAGGCCAGGACCTATGCACCTAAACGGTCTGACTGCCTTTTAAAATAGAAGATTTAAATAGGATCTAAAGTTATCTAACATAATGTCCAAACTGTCCAGGAGACAAATGCAAATAAAATCCCTTGTCATACCAAAAGCCAAAAAAAACTACAACTTGAACGCAGAAAAATAATCAACACATGCCAACACCAAGATGAATCAGATGTTGGAATTATGTAACAAGAATTTTAAAGGAGCCATCATCAAAATGCTTCAATGAGCAGTTACAAATAATCTTGAAGCAAATGAAAAATCTAAAATCTTATAAAAGAAATAAAAGATATGAAAAAGAACCAAATGGAAATTATAGAACTAAACATATGATCACAGAAATTAAAAACTCAGGCTGGGCATGGAGGCTCATGCCTGTAATCCTAGCACTCTGGGAGGCCAAGGTGGGAGGATTGCTTGAGCTCAGGAGTTCGAGACCAGCCTGAGCAAGAGCGAGACCCCATCTCTACAAAAAATAGAAAGAAATTAATTGGCCAACTAAAAATATATAGAAAAAATTAGCTGGGCATGGTGGCGCACGCCTGTAGTCCCAGCTACTCGGGAGGCTGAGGCAGGATTGTTTGAGCCCAGGAGTTTGAGGTTGCTGTGAGCTAGGCTGACACCACAGCACTCTAGCCCGGGCAACAGAGTAGTTTACAACTACTAAATAATTATAATTATATATCTGGTTGTAATTTATTTCCTTAGATTAGCTGGAATTTTACTCTAAATTATATTAATTTTTAACTTTTTAAAAAAATTAATCCTTATCAGCATTTCTTAAAACAGAATAGTATAAAGAGAACAAGAAAATGGCCAATTAATCTCATAATCCATATGATCCCTATTGACATAAAAAGTAAAAATAAAATCTACCATGTTTATTAAACATCCACTCAGGATACAATAAGCACCTAATGAAGGCACACATTTCAGCATACCCTCATTGTTTTTATGGTATTAATTTCAAGACACTTACCTTCGAACTAATTCTGGTTTTGGAAGAGCTGCTTGTTCAACTCCAGCTGGTTGGGATACAGGCTGTAAATGGTACGGATATAAAATTTAAAATAATAATGGCAAAATTCAAGCTAAAGATACAATTTGCTGCTGTTTCAGAAAACATGATTGTTACATTTCACATTTTGGTTGCCTTGCAAATCAGGTAGAATGTCTATCTTACTGAATGTTTACATCAATCCTATTATTGATATATTACCAAAGATATATATTACCAATCCTATTATTGATATATTACCAAAGATATTACTGCTACCAAAATGTAGCAGTACCTCAAGTACATTTTATTCAGCAAAAAATTGAAACTGTTTTGTGTACTTTTGTTTGTGTTATTTTTCAATGGAGTATACTACTATTAAGCTTCCAGTCTTGCTTGTAAAACTACTACTTAAGACTTATTGCCATTCTACAAGAAGGTAAATCAATTACTCAAGTCTTAACTAATCATGTGATGTGTAGTCTCATGTCTTTTCACTAGACCACTTCCAACTATTCCTTTGAGGTGTTACTATTCAGCAGCTGCAACACTGGCTTCTAGAGAAAAGTTTAAGCCCTTAAGAGGGCAAATACCAACTCTTTTGGAAAATGATTTTACATTTAATTAATCCATCCTCTATACAATGCCACTAGTGATAGCAGAGTGACCTTAGAATGATCTTTTCCCTACCCAGTTTAAACTCTCTATGATAGCTCCTCATTTTCTGTAAGGCTAAATTTCTTCAAAAGGCAAATAAAGTTTTCAATGAACTGGTCCCTGCCTGATTCTGTAGCCTCATCTGTCTTCTTGAAGTGACTAAGCTGTAGCTCTTTTGTCTGACTTGGGCTCTTCCATATGCTGTGACTCAACTTATATTCCTCCATCTCCCTGTACTGTTTGCACATCTTCTCGGTCCTATTCATTTAGCAAATATCTGAAACTGTTCCATATTAAAGAAAAGAAAAGAGATAGGACAACTAAAGGCAATGCATGATCTTCAACTAGATCCCAGATCAAGATGGGAAAACTGCCTTAAAGGATCTCCTATATATAAGAGGCCTCTGTTATGGTAGGTTCCAGAAACAGACCGTATTTTTCCATTCTTGAGAATACTATACTTAGTAGTAAGGGTTCCAGCCTTATCACAGGAAAAAATACAAGAGGTGCTATATCCAACCATTATTTCTTAAAGCTGAGTAGTAACTCGATTGAGAAGAAACTACTATAACACATTAATTATTAAATCACTGCTGAATTCTGAATGGCAACTTGGGTTGTTCCACAGCTTTAGCAATTGTGAATTGTGCTAGCATATAACAATCAAGTCAGTGTCTTATTAATATAGCGTGTCATATGACTTCTTGTGGTAGATCAGTAGTGGATTGCTGGATCAAAATGGTAGATATACTCTTGTATCACTTTGAAGGTATCTCCATATTGCTTCACAGAGGCTGAACCAGATTTAACAGTCCCACCAGCAGATGTAGAGTGTTCACTAACTCTACTCGATCCATGACCAACAGTTATATTGTTGGGACTTTTTGATAAAGGCCCTATCTCTCACTAGGAGTTAATGAATACTCATTGTGGTTTTGATTTTGCCATTTCCGATGATTAGAAATGTTGAGCTTTTTTTCATGTTTGTTGGCCATTATTCTGTCTTCATTTGAAAAATTTCTGTTCATGTCCTTAACTTTTTGACAGAGTTGTTTGATTTTTCCTTGCTGATTTTCCTGAGTTCTAAACAGACGCTAGTTATCAGCCCTTTATCAGATGTGTAGCTTAAGAAAATTTCTCCCATTCTGTGGGTTGTCGTGTCTTGACAATCTCTTGACTATTTTTTTTTTTCTTTGCTATCAGAAACTATTTTAATTGATCAGTTCACCATTTATTTATTTTTGTTGATGCATGTGATATGTCATTTGGGGTCTTCTTCATAAAATTCTTTGCTCGCCAATTCGTAGAAGAGTATTTTCCAAACATTTTCCTCTAGAATTCTAATAGTTTCACACTAAGGTTCAAGTCAATGATTCAACCAAGCGGTGAGTTGATTATTTGTGAGAGGTGAAAGGTGTGGGTCCTGTTTCAGTCTTTCTACAATGTGGCTATCCAGTTTTCACCAAGCAACCATTTAATTGAATTAAAGATTCTTTTCAACCCAGTGTATGTTTAATGAACAAATTTTTAATGTAGAGTAAAGTTAGTTTACAGATTTTCCCATTTATCTAACATTCAACTATCTGTAGCAAATTGCCGCTCCCTGACCTCTAGACCTCTGGACCATACTCTTAATCAAAACTATATTTACACACTGACCTGAAGGACAGTAGCTGAAATTTAGTCCCTTTCTCTGAGTGGAGACAGGAAACTTTCTCTGTTTGATCCAGGATCTGGTTTACCATTTTCCACTTTGGTAATCAGGATTATTGTGTTTTCCTTCACAAGCTCCACATCATTGATTCAAGAGTAATTAAAAGAAATCAATTCAAAATTCCAAATACCTGAGGTAAAAATTCTAAGGAAACTCCCAATTATATAAACAATCATATGAGTATTAGGAAATCAAATAAATAACTCAACAAGTATTCTTTTAAAGTTAAGATATGCACAACTCTGTTGAAAATCATACTAAAAGCCATGAATTATACACTTATAAAATTGTATTATGAATATTTATATGTAAATAGTAATATATATAAACAATAAAAAGCTCTTTTTAACAGTTACGAAAAACTAGAGAATTTCAACACTGTATTTTGGCAAACATACCTTCTCACAGTGATGAGAAATGAAAAAAAAATTGACAGACCTCTGATGGAATCTTAAAAAAAATAATTATTAATTTCATTTTTTAAGTTTAGAGACTGGGATCTCAACTACATTGCCAGATGGAGTTAACGATGGCTATTATATAAACCACAAATTATAGCAAACATTGTAGCCTCAAACTGGTCTCAAGTGATGCCCCACCTAAGCCTCCCAAGCAGCTGGGATTATAGCATTCCCTCTGCAACTGGCTACTGTGGAATTTTTAATAGGGGAATGTTCCTCAATAAATTATTACCTTTTTGTGTTGGGGTTAGTTTGTAAATATTGTTCAAATAAAAACAATCTAAAACCAAAAACAAAATTCTCACTAAAATTAATACCTATTATATGTATGAACTCGACAGTTGGATTAGACAGAACCATGGTATGGGAGACAAGTATGAGTAAGCAGAGTTGGCAGAACAGAAAATAAGATGAATGATGTAAAAATGTTCAACATGATTAACCTAATTAGTTATAATTATTACAGTTTGAATAACTAATAACTATGGAAATGACGGCGTTACCCTTTAAATTTAACTGTGTCAAAGGCATTTTTCAGCTTTTTCTTAATAAACTTGAAGATATTTCAATAAATACAAAAATTTCAATAACACATTTGCAATTTAAATGATAATATTTGGTAAGCACTAGAAATCATCATTGTCAAACAGATATCTTTTAAAGTAATTTAGGAAAGTCCTTTCTCATAAAAAACTATTCGTGAGCATCTGTATAGAATGACGAGAAGAGATAAAAAATAACTCCGAAATTGTTTTCTGTGTACATATGAAAAAATAATTTGCATAATGAGTGGTGGGAAGAAGATACATTCATACACTGCTCTTATGAGAATTTAAATCTAACAAGAAAAGGCAGATATAATTACAGAAGGATAAAAAGACCGATAATTTTAGCCTATAGGCTATATCATCACATTCCAAAAATTACTTAAAAACTAGTTTAGGGTTGGGACAACGATGACAAGAATCTCAACTCTCCCTGCTCCTCCCCGCTAAATAAAGCAAAGATTCTAGAAATAATACAGTAGACAACCACAGGAAGGGTACTTAAAGAGTAAAACAGATGAAACGCACTTCCGGTTGGGTCCGAGTGAAAGTGGTGTTTTAACAACTAAAATTGATAACTAACAGAACAAGTACAGAAATATCTTTTGTCCTTTACTCCCGACCCCAACTGCTCCACCTTGATGCTGTGAGCTAGGCTGACGCCATGGCACTCACTCTAGCCTGGGCAACAAAGTGAGACTCTGTCTCAAAAAAAAAAAAATTGCTTTTCAATAGATTTTTGCTACTATTACTATACTATTACGATCTAATAATGTAAAATACTACATATACATACAGAAAAAAAGAGAGAGAAACAAACTAGAACATTAACATGAGCTATCTCTGAGTGGGTGGCTTACAAATGAATTTTATTTTCTTCCTTATATTTCTCAAGTTTAACATATAATGCTGTTATGAGAAAATTTTTTTTATTTCAGCATATTATGGGGCTAAAAATCTTAAGGTTACGTATATTGCCCATTTCCCCCTCCCCACTCAAGTCAGAGCTTCAAGCGTGACCATCCCCCAGACAGTGCATATCTCATTCATTATGTATGTATATACCCATCCCCTCCTCCCCTCTCCCATCTGCCCTACACCCGATAAATGTTATTCCTATATGTCCACTTAGGTGTTGATCTGTTAATACCAATTTGCTGGTGAGTACATGTGGTGCTTCGTTGGAAGGCCTTGGGTCCTCGGTAGTGTGAGTTCCACAGATTTCACAGTTGTAGTTGATGTTTAGGCCATGAAGCTTATACAGCCAGTAGGGAATGGGTTTGCCATCCCAGCCAAGGGCAGGTTTTTGGGGTTGTAAATGATCTCATTCTCTTCATCTTCACTTTCACTCTCACTGATCTGCTCTTCCTCCTCCTCTTCTCGCTCTTCTCCTGTCCTTGCTTGCTTGCGTTGTACATTTCATGTGTAAGATGTCGCTGTTCCCAAGAATCTCTACATATTCATAGATCTGGGCTTCTAGAAAAGCAATGTCTTTTTCGTCTCGGTGTCTCGCTTGGTGCCCTTTGATTTGGGATTTTTGGCGAACAGAGGAAGTGTCAAGTGACTCCAGGGACTTTCCTTTGGTGCTGAATAGTCTCTGGGCTCGCTCTTCTAGAGTCCCGCCACATTTCAGGCCTAAAGCTAAGAGTGCAGATTTCAATCTGTCC